TAAAACGGTTTCGCAGACCCAAACGGATGTCATATCTTTCTTAGTTTATTTGATCGAGCCTCACCCTCAAGTCTTGTGTTTATCCCTTGGGGTAGATACAGGATTTGAGGTTGAGTGCTCTTTCATTTAAACTATAAAAAATATGAGGTCAGTTTGATTTCATATTTTTCTAAAATTATATATATATATATATATATACGTAAATTAAAAAGTCCTTCCGAAGCGGGCGACGGGATTTCGATTCCGGCGACCGACAGCTTCTTACGGGCGACCCCCAAACAAACATTGCGAAAACTCTCCTCTTTCCCCTTTTAAGCGCCGACAATATATATATCCAAAGAAGAATTACCTAGCTCCTAAAGACGACCCAACAGACAATATATCTTAGTCTTTGAAATACAATAGATACATATGAGGTTGTAATAGGCCAAAGTAAAAATATCTCATAATTTAACCCATCAAAGAAACAACTGCAAGTCCTCCATAAGCAACATGTGGAGCTTGCAAAATTAAATGCACTTCCTTCTGTCATATGTTATATTAGCACAAATGTTTGCCAGATTATTTAAAATAGATTATGAGAATTTAAAAAAAAAATTATTAAACACAGTTGTGATAAAACAATTTTCAATTACTTCATGCGGTGTTTACATTTTTTTTTTAATTTGTTAATGAAAATAATAATTTTTTTAATAAAAAAAGATTGTGCCGTCATACTATCTTGAACAACCTTCAAGAGACACTAGCAATTCTTATAATTAACTCGAGAGAAATTGGCATACATGCCACACAATTCTTATGCATTTACATATCTAACACCTGGATTTGGCATTTACATTTATAAAATATTGATGTTATAATGCATGAAAATGTGTACTTCACTTGTAAAAAGTTAGAAATAGTGGTATTTTTATGTGATTTTAAAGATTCGAGTGATCATGCATGCACATATAAGAGTTTAAGTGTTAGATATGTAAATATATAAGAATTGTGTGATATGTATACAAAAGTCCCTTAATTCATTCTTTATTGTTAGCATAGCAAGGAATGTGTGAATTTCTCTACAAACAAAAAGCTTGTGGGCATGCACATCATACAAGAATTCCACCCACGCAGATCTACAGTAAAGTTAACACATTCATTTTACATTTCATCATATAAAGTTTATTTTCTTACCCGGCCATGAGACCTCTAGATCGCAATGGAATTTTAATGATCACTCCAAACCAACTATTTTATACTAACCCAAAGAAAAAAAAAGTAGCAGAGTTGAACAAATGAAGGCCAGTAGGGCCAATGGCATATAAGCATTTACATATTGGGTAGCTTGCAGTCACTGTTTTGATTTCAACATCAAATAGAGACTGCTTCATCGTCTCATATTTATTAGAAGAATAAAACAGTGTGATCTCAAGTATTATGTTAGATGTAGAGAATCAACACTCAATGCTAAACGAGAGATGAAAAACTATAGAATGGTGAAAAACAATGATAGATGGATGGCAAAGCAATGCCCAAGATAATAAATATAAAGCATTTTGATATAAACGTTAGATAAACATTGCTATTTCAATAATTCACAATGTAGATAAAAAGTGGTGTTTTCAACGATGGACAGGAAAATAACACAAAAGAGCCTGCCTTTAGGAGAGGAAAATAATAAATAGTTGCTAGAATGTTATATACGTCATATGTTGAGGGGAAAAAAAATAAGGGGCATTTACATACATACTACCCAATTCTAATGTATCTACATATCTAACATTAAAGTTTAAGTATTACATTTATAGCACCCAAATCTTTTATATCACATAAAAAACATCATTATTTTAACATTTAAAAAATGAAATCACCTTTTCATGCATAAGGAAGGTGGCGTGTATGTAAAAATAGAAGTTTAGGTGTTAGATATGTAAATATAAAAGAATTAAGCGGTATGCATGTAAATCGTTGAAAATATAAATCCACTAAAGAGGGGAACATATATGATTGCCATTTAGTGAGCCAAAGCTTAGCTGTGATTGGTAGTGTATTGCCCAAGAAGGACAACCTCATGAGCAAAGAGTAAGGCGAAATCTAGATATACTATTGAAGGCACCAGGAAGAATATTTTGCAATGGAAAAAAAACCTGGATAAGCAATGTTGTTTGGTAAACTCCTTGTCATTTAGAAGAAATAATGACTTTTGTTGAGGAATATGTGTTGACTATATTTATTTTGCCAATCTCAAAAAAAAAAAACACACACACAAAAATTAATTTCGAAAAGAACAAGAGAAAGAAATTGCATGAAATATTTCTGAGTGGACACAAAATTTAGCATCATTGTTCTGTTTCTTACAATAATCTCCTCTGCCTAACAATCCTAGTGTTTTTGCCCTACTTGCAAACTTTCCCTTCTCAAAGCAATCCACGGAATTGCCTCACTACAGCTCAAAATGCACATCGTGCCTAAGCAAAAACCTTCTAGATATCTATGTTATTATTGATCATAGTCAGAAAATATGGTGGATGGATGGTTGTCAACAACATATCTCAATAAACTTTTCAAAAAGTCAAGAAAATATGCTAATTGTTTTATTTAGTGGAAAATTAGCACCAAATAGAGTGCTTTCCAATGGTGACTCACTCTAACAAATGAAGCACAAATAAAAATACACTTTATCATATATGATTCTAACCATTCCATCCATCCATGAAAGTTTTTCCAGCAAATCTTTTTGAAAATGTTAATTAAAGAATCTCATGTTCCTATTCCAGCCATCCTATCCTCTAAGAAAATTGTATGCATCACAATTGCAAAACCTAACATTCTATATGCTGCAAATGAAAATACATGGATTGTTCTCACAACAGCTTTAGTTAAAGCTTTCAAAATATCCCATCAAACATGTGAAATTGAGTACTTGATCTACGAAAATGATGATCTCCCGGGATTGTTTTCTGATGATTATGCTCATGCACAAAGTTACTATCATTTTAAAATCTTTCATCATTTAAATTAAATAATATTATTGTTGGGTATCAGATTCTAGTATTTAGTTTATAGCCTCTGGTTTCTCATTAATATTTGCCATACTCAGAGATACAACTTATTAGCTTCCACATAACACTTTTTTTTTTCTTGGGTTATAAGTGAAGAAAATTCTATAAAAAGAATTGAAAAGTCACTCGAGTGCCTAATTGAACCCTTACAGCATAAGATAATCATAGAGAAATATCTTATAACATTCAATAATAACCTTAGCCCTACAAGCAGGATTTCTTATTTTCATAAAATAATGCAAAAAATGAAACAACTTTACTGAATCCAGCACTCATATAAATAGAACTAAGGATTTTCCTAGCGCCTAATTAATTGTCAAAATAATATAAATTTGCTCAAAGACAGAAGCATAGAGACTAAAACAAAGGAATTATGCGCATTAGAATCCAACAATTCACGTTAATTTTTTATATAAAAAACTATGGATAATTTCTATCATAGATCTCATCCTTGTTATCCTTTCCCAAAAACTCGATCACAAATCCTTGCTATTTCCTTGCAATAAAAGAAGAATTCAAATGCCTAGTTGATTCTGACTAGATATTCAACAACAACATCGAGGTAAGTGATTGAAGAAACAACCTTTTTGGTATAGCACAGTAGCGAGCAAATTGTGACTAACATAAAAATAGGGAGTAACTAGAAGATATTGTACCTTCTAGCACAGTGCGAAGACGGGGTAGGCCCGGCGGAACTAGCTGGTTCCTATGATCCTCCAGAGGAGCAGCAGACAACGGCCCGTTCATCACAGCCCGGCCCTCCTCCCCCTCGACATACTCCTGCTCTCCAACATCCTCCACCGCTGCCTTCACATCCGGCATTGAGAGCGACCCGCCGCTGCGCCCAAAATACCCCTTCCCCTTCCGCCGGTACTGGCCCTGACCCCTCTGCCGCCTGTACCCCTCACCGTCCTTCTCTCCGCAGTCCTCCTCCGCAACCCCACCAGCGCCAGTGGTCCCAGCCCGGTCGCGCTCGCGTTCCATCTCCACCGCGCGAGCAAACTCCAGCAACTGCGTTAGGGTTTTACGATGCATATAGTAGGCCGAGACGGCGACGAAGGAGGCGCCAACAAGCGCCGCCATGGCGAGGTGCAGCGGATAAGAATCCATCCGTGTCTTCTTGAAACAATAGAATTTTGTCGGAGAAGACAAGGGGGTATAGGGGTAGGGGAAGATGGGAGGAGGGAGAGAGCTGCGTATTTATAGAAACAGGGGATGGTGGGAAGTGGGTGCTGGGAAGAGGAAAGGATGAAGGAGATGTTTTGAGCTGCTTGAGCAGCATGAAATTACATTTTGCCCGTTTTGTGAGGGTTAATTTACTATTCTGCCATTGGCCCCGCGCTGCGGTTAGGGGTGTAAACGAACCAAACACGAACGAACAAAGCTTGTGTTCGTGTTTGGTTTGTTTAAAATTTAGTTTGTTTGAAATAAGCTCGTGTTCGTTTCTTAACGAACGAGCCGAACACGAACCGAACACGAGCA